GTCCCAGCTCACTGCCACCTCGGCCTCCCAGGTTCAAGCGATTTTACTGCCTCAGCCTCCCAAGTAGCTGGGACTACAGGCCCATGCCACCACACCCAGCTAATTTTTGTATTTTTAGTAGAGACGGAGTTTCACTATGTTGGCCAGGCTGGTCTTGAACTCCTGACCTTGTGATCCGCCCACCTCGGCCTCCCAAAGTGCTGGGAATACAGGTGAGCCACCGTGCCTGGCCTGGTCTCGATCTCTTGACCTCGAGATTCGCCTACCTCGGCCTCCCAAAGTGCTGGGATTATAGGTGTGAGCCACCACGCCCCGCCGCCTTTGTCTATTACTTTAACCCCATCTATTGCTACTCCTTCATGCACAATACTTCAGTCACACTGGTCTTTTGGTAATTCCATTGTCAAACCAAACTTTTTCCTGTTTTGGGGTTTTTGTACCTGGCTTTCTCTTCACCTGGGCCAGTCTTTCCCCAGAACTCTTTGCATGGCTGTTTACTTTTTATCCTCCATGTGTCTGTTGAATGTATATATAGCACATCAAAGAAACCTTTCCTTGACCATTCTCAAGTAGCTTATTTACTGTTTTCATAAGCACTTTCCACAAGCTGTAATTATTTTATTGCTTGGTATGTTTATTGACATGTTCAAATTTAATAACACGTTACAGTTTCATTTGAACAGTGTATTACTGTATTAAAGTATAGCATCATACCTAAAAGAATAGGCTCTAGATTCAGACCGGCTGAATTTGAATCCTAGATCCACCACTTACGTGAACCTGGCCAAGTAGTTTAATCTCCCTAGGAATCTCCCTAGGCCTCGATTATTCCCATCTGCCAAAAAGAAATATTAAATGATACTCATATCATAGTATTGTAATAGAGATTGAGTTAAGGCATCAAAAGTGGTTAAAACAAAGAATGCCACATAATTCTTCAGGAAATGTACATAACTGTTATTATTTATCACCGGTTTCTAGTGCCCAATACAGTGTCTGGAATTCAAGGAATAGATGCGAGGAACTCTGTAAAGTGTATGCTTGCTATACAAGTGTGTCAGGTATTATTGATCCAGCTCTGCAAGGCAATCCATTAATTGTACGTAGTTTGGGAATAATCCTTGGGAAAAAAAATAAATAACTGTACATAGGATTTAAAAAAAAAATTTATATAAAAAAATGAGACAGAGTCTTGCAATGTTGCCCAGGCTGGGCTCAAATGCCTAGGCTCAAGTGATCCTCCCTGCTCAGCCTTCCAAAGGGCTAGAATTACAGACATGAGTCACTTCACCCAGCCATAAAAACTATTCATAGGTTTTATTACATATATATTTTTAATGATATATACACACATATATTTTTATTTTATGTATTTTATTTATTTATTTATTTATTT